GAGCGGGAGGATCGAATGTGGCACAGCAGGAGCAGGACGAGAACACGGAGTGGCAACGCGCGACGGGGAGCAGCCACCGTCTGGCTGGATTGGAGCGGGCACACGAGAGGACGCGAGACCCTTCCGAGGGCCACAAATGCCCCCCCCCCCCCTCTCCTCCTCCTCCTCCTCCTCCTCCTCCTCCGAGGAGGAGGAGGAGGAGGAGGAGGAGGAGGACATGGTCCGCGAACCGCAGGATGGCAAGGGCCGCCTCGACTCGGAGGGGCCGACCTGCTGGTCAGAAACCGACCGCGGCAGGCGCAGGAGGGCCGGCGGGCACCAGCAGGGGGGCAGGCAGCGGGAGCAGGACGGCGAGACCGGGCACGCTGCCAAGCGCTCAGCCAAGCCGGAGGAGGAGGCGGAGGAGGAGGAGGAGGAGGAGGAGGAGGAGGAGGGAGGTAGAAGGAGGAGGAGGCGGAGGAGGAGGAGGAGGAGGAGGAGGGTACCGAGCTTGGCGCCCTGCCCACAGGCATCTCGCAGCGCGCCATGGTCCGATGCAGAAGTGCGGTCGGGCAGCTGGAAGAAGGAACGCTCCATGAGGCACGGAGCCCCTTTTGAGCCCAAGAAGCGCCTCCGTGCCAAGGGGGGGGCAAGAGGAGCAGCACTGGAGGAATGTCTGGAGCATCCAGCCCCTTCCGAACCCAAAGTGTTCCTTAGTTCAGCGTCTTGACTGTAGCCTCCTCCCTCCTTTGAAGAAGAATGGCGTAAACATAAACTTTTGGTGCTCTGCGCAGATCTCTTGGATCTGCGCTGGACCCCCTTCCCTGGCGCGCGGAACGCGCCAGGGGCGGCGCCGGAGGCACCGCCCGGGGGGGCCCAGCGCAGATCCAAGAGATCCGCGCGGAGCGCCAAAAGTTTATGTGCACGGCGTGTTTTCTTCTTCGACTCCTGTCTTGTTCCGCCATCCTCCACTCCAGCTCCACTCACACGATCCTCCCTCTGACGCTGACGCCCCGAGGGCGTCCACCTCGGTGTGCCCCTCCCCTTCGTCCTCGTCTCCTGCTCCGCCCGGCAAGTCCCCATGTGCTACCGCACCGCGGCAAGGGGCCCTGCAGCCTGGGACATGCCTCGGGCCACCCAGAGATCCAACGTAACGCATGGAAAAATTCGAGACTCGGTTTTTTTTCCAAAAAATTCAGCCCCTGGGGGCCCTCGCCAGGCCTCGGGTCCGTCAACCAACGGCACAGGATGAGAAACGGGTCCTGAGGAATGACGTCGCCGAGCGCGTTCCCCTTCTCGCAAAGTGCCTACTCGCAAACGTCCGAAAAAAGTCGGTCTGCTCTGACGTAATTTTGTCGTGGATCCCCCCGCGGGGGATCCAGGCCATTTGCGAAGAATTACTTTGCGAGTAATGGAACGCGCTCGTCGAGAATGGGTCGAGGCTTCCGGGGACCCCGCAATCCCCGTCGCTCGGACGTCCATTCCCTGCGTCTTTTTGCTCGGTTTCGGGCGTGTTTTTTTCGCAGAAGGATCCGGGAGGCTCCTCAATCATCCCCGCCGAGAAAAAGTGCACACGTCCGAGCGATACCAAGCGCACGGAAAAGGCGTGGCTTAATGGGGGGGTCATAAATGGGGGGGTGGCGAGGGTGGTTCGAAAAGGTACCCCAACGGTACCTAATTAGACGAACCCCCTGGGTTTCTGGAGGGGCCCGAAAGGGGCACCAAAGGGTACCTTTTCTGACCCCCCCCATTTGTGACCCCCCCATTAAACCACGCCCAAAAAATCACGACCTCGGGATGCTCCGGACAGGGCTGCGGCCCACAGGCACGGGAGGGCGGGCAGGCGTCTCGCCAGCCTGGCCCCGGCGATGCGCCGGCGGCGAGGCTCCAGGGACGGCGTCAAGGCAGAGGGAGGAAGGGAGGGAGAGGAGGGAGCGAAGGGAGGGAGGGAGAGGGGGGGGGAGGGGAGGGAGGGGAGGGAGGGAGGGGGGAGGGATGAGAGGAGGATGAGGCTGGAGGAGGAGGAGGAGGAGGACGAGGAGGGAGGAGGACGGGGGAGGAGGAGGAGGAGGAAGGAGGAGGAGGAGGAGAAGTAGAGAGGGAGGAGGGAGGAGGGAGGGAGGAGAGCAGGAGGGAGGGGGGCGGGCGGGGGAGGGCGGGCGGGCGGGCGGGGGCGGGGGAGGAGGAGAAAAGAGGAGGAGGAGGAGGAGGAGGAGGAGGAGGAGGAGGAGGAGAAGGAGGAGGAGAAGTAGAGAGGGAGGAGGAAGGAAGGAAGGGAGGGAGGAGGAGGAGGAAGAGGAGGGAGGGAGGGCCCCCCCGCTGTGGCCTGCAGCCCTCGGCAGAAGCAGCGTGCCAGAAGCTGAATGGGGCGCTGAGCGATCTGTTACGGCTCGTGCAGAAGGCTCTCGGACGCGAGCGGCTGCGCGCAGAGGAGGCGATACAGTACCCTCGGGGCGCTGACCTAAGGAACCCTAAATAAGGAACGGGGCCCCTTTTCTCCAGAAGTTGACCTTCGATTTCCCTTCGAAAACCTGAGGAAAGCCTCAGGCAAGCTGTGACCCACTTAAGGAACGCGGAGCCCCTCCCCAAAGAGAAGGGTTCCTTCTTCAGGGCCCCGACTGTAGGGGCCCGACCACAAGAAACCTTCCACAAGAAGCCCAACCCCGAGACCCCAGGGCGTCCATCGACTTCTGGTGTGGGGACGCCACGCTCTCCGTCGCAAAACCCTCGGAACCCAGGAAGCCCAATGCACCCCGGAGGCAAAATGAGCGCGCATGATTTACGCTCCAACGATACGGAATCGCTGCAGCTGAATCCGACGATGCCCTAGCGGGAAACTCGTCGACGTCGGCTTGGTACATCGTGCATCGCTGAACCACATCAACAAAATGCGGCATCTCGTCCTCTAGAGGCCTCCTGGACAAGGCCCGAGCATCGCCGATGCATCGGCGACGTCGGCGACATATCGGCGCCATCGACGCGGATAAAGTAGGGCTCGACATCGATCCGCATCGTCGATGCATCGTCGACGCGAAGTGATCGCTCGACCCCACCTGCTCCGACCCCTGTGGGAGGTATAGATTCTCCTCCTGCGTACGAGGGACATCAAACACACCTCCAACACATGGCTGCCACCCGGGCTACCCGAATCACTGCCGCAGACAGAGTGCAATCGTTGGTGCGGCGTGCCGCTGTCGGGAGTCTTGATCTCGTTCAGCCGGATGCTCTCGAAGATGCGGGCCTGGACATCCTCCGGGATGTTCTCACCTCGGCGGCCAGTCAGGGGCGGATGGATACAGCCGGACGTCCGTTGCGCAGCAAACCGACCAATTGGCGCAAACGTGCTTTGCCGGAGAAGACATGCTGCTGGTCCGCTGCTGCTCCCGGTACTCCTCATCCTCCTCACGCTGCAAAAGGGGGAAAGAGAACTGTGCACATACACCGATTCTGGCAGGGCTCATTCTGCGCCCAGAATCGGTGCACACGCTCTCCTGCCTTGGCCAGGCTGGCATACGCACAGATCCTAGGCCCAGTGTGGGCCTGGCCAGAATCGAGGCATGTGCACGGTTCGCTTCGCCCGATCATCGGGCGAGGCGAACCTTTCGCCCAGAGCTGCTCCTCCGCAGCCTCCTTCACCCTCCCCCGTAAGGCCCGTAGCCACATCCAAAGATTTGGACGCCCGAAATGGGTACCGAAATAATGGGTACAATGCCCAACAGCAAATGTTGTCCCAAACCAACAGCGGCCGCTGTTGGGCAGGCGGCCTCCCGTCTCGAATGGACACAGGCCGCGGCGGCGCGGACAGCGAGCCCTGTTCAAAATGAGCAAGATCCGCTGTTGGGCATTGTACCCATTCTTTCAGTACTCCAGATTTCGTAATAAAAGGAGGGGGGTCTCATTTCGGGGGGGGTCTCTTCCAGGCTATCTCGGAGGGCCTGGGGGGGTCTGGGGACGATGTTTTGGAGGGTTCTCCCACGGGGGGGGTCTGAAATGGCTTGTCTTAGAGGGTCCAGACCCCCTCCCTTTTATTACGAAATCTGGAGTACCCATTCTTTCAGTACCCATTTCGTGCGCGCAGAAAAGACAGCCAAGAGCCCAGCAGAGCAGACGCGCACCTTCCGGCGCTCCGCCGGGCATCGGACCAGTCCCCCCCGGCATGACGCCCCTCCTCGTCGTGGCCGCCCCCGCCCCGCGGTCAGCACTGCAGCGCCTTCCACTGGCCAAAATCTCGGACGTCCACTCCCTGTGTGTTTTTTTCCCGGTGTCGTGCGTGGTTGTTTTCGCAGGATGATCCAGGAGGCTCCTCAAAAAATCCCCGCCGAGAGAAAGTGCGCACGTCCGAGCGATACCAAGGCCACCTCCTCGCGCCACACGCCACAGCACCACAGCCCCCTTACCTCGTGGGCCCCCGCCGCAGGACGCACGGGCACGCCTTCGTTGATGCCCCGGTTGTTGGAGATGAAGTCCTTGACAGTCATGCGCCTCGGGGGAGGAGGGGGTGAGCGAGTTGAGTCTGAGTCCGAGTGGGTCTGCGATTGAGCATGCTGAGTGAGTCTAAGTGCGAGCGAGCCCGAATGGGTCTGCCTGTGAGTGCATCTGAGAATGGCGAGGAGAAGGTAGCAGGGAGGAGGCGGGAGGAGGAGTGATGTGGAGGGATTCCACGGGTGTCAACAACGTACTACACTGACGATGGGGATCCGATCGATGATACTGCGAAGGGAAACGAACGAGGAGCAAGCGAAGAGAAAGTGAAGGAGAAGGACGCCGCGGAGCCGAAATCAGAGACTCCGAGATGCCCGCGTCGAGCCCGCACCGCCCCCCTGCCATTGAGGAGGGCCGCTGTGGCCGAATGGCATATAAAACGTAGCGTACACCCTGCGAAATGCTCAAGAAATCATGGGTTAAGAAATTCATAGTCTCAGAACTTGAATAAAAACGCAACATTTCCTTTCAAATCTTAAGATTTACATTGAAACGTTAAGAACAATCGAGACTCTGGCCGAAAATTTGAGTTTTCTTAAGCATCGCCTAAGGTGTACGAGCGGCCGATCATCCACGGAACACCAGCTCGACTGTGGTTGACTTCTGAAGGCCCGCTGTGGCTTTCTTGGGCCCGATTCGAAGCTCTTCGGGCGGCCACCTTGGACAGGCTGGCGGTCCTCCTCGGGTCTTCTTGGGCCGTCCTGGGGCCCTCCGGGGCTCTCCTGGGGCCGTCTTTGGCCGCTCGAGGCCACTGCTGCTTCCCCAGCCATCCTGAGGTGTTGGGTCCCCGTGTTGAAACGACAGCGCGCCGCGTCTCATCCTCCTCCCTTCCCTGGCATCTGCTTGCTCCTCCCATCCCCTTGCATCTCGCCAGCCTCCGCCTCCTCCTTCCATCCCTTGCCCATGCCCTCCGCATGTCTCTGTTTCGGCACACCCCAGCAACATTTCGTGGCCCCGTTGGGAGCTCCACTGAGAGCCCGAATGGCACAGTCCGAACGGCAGCGCCGCACCCATTTCGGCACACCCGTCACACGCTTCCTGGCCCCATGAGGAGCTTCATCGAATGCCGCAGTGGCACAATCGGCACAACGCAGCGGCGCAACATCCATTTCGGCACACCCGTCACACGCTTCCTGGCCCCAGAGGGAGCTCAACCAGAGGGCCTGAAGGCACAGTCCGCATGGCGGCGCCGCCTCCATCTCGGCACAATCGTCACACGCTTCGTGGCCCCAGAAGGAGCTCCACCGAATGCCTCAATGGCACAGTCCGCATGGCAGCGCCGCATCCATGTCGGCACACCCCTTCATCGTTTCGAAGCCACATCGGGAGCTCCACCGAAGGCCCTAACGGCGCAGTCCGCATGGCGGCACCGCAGCCATTCCGGTACACACCCTGCACGTTTCGTGACCCCAAAGGGGGCCCCACCGAAGGCCTCAGTGGCGCGGTCCGCATGGCGGCGGCACACCCCTTCGCATGCTTCGCCGCACCATAGGCAGGTCCGTACGGCTGCGCCGCATCCTCATCGGCACCCCCCCCCCCACACACGCACACACACACACACACACACGCACGTTCCGTGGCCTCATGGGGAGATGCATCGAAGGTCTGAGCGGCACAGTCCGCATGGCGGCGCCGCACCCACTTCGGCACACCCCTCACGCGATCCGTCTCCACATAGGGAGCACACCCGAAGGCCCTGCTGGCACAGTCCGCACGGGGACGCCGCACCCATTTCGGCACGCCCGTCACATATTTCCTGGCCCCATAAGGAGCTCCACCGAATGCCGCAATGGCACAGTCGGCTCAGCGGCGCCGCACGCATTCCAGCACACCCCTTACACGCTTCGTGGCGTCATAGGGAGCTCCACCGAAGGCCCTAGTGGCACAGTCCGCACGGCAGCGCCGCATACATCCAGGCACACCCCTTACACGCTCCGTGGCCTGGGAGCTCCACCGAAGACCCTAGTGGCACAGTCCGCATGGCAGCGCCGCATACATCCAGGCACACCCCTTCACACGCTCCGTGGCCTGGGAGCTCCACCGACGGCCCTAGTGGCGCAGTCCGCATGGCGGCGCCGCATCCATGCCGGCACACCCCTTCACAAACGTCGTGGCCCCATAGGGGGATCCACCAAATACCCCAGTGGCGCAGTCCGCATGGCGGCAGCATCCATTTCGGCACACCTCAGACATGCTTCGTGGCCCAATGGGGAGCTTCGCCGAATGCCCCAGTGGCCAAGTCCGCATGACGGCGCCGCATCCATTTCGGCACAACCCTCACACGCTTCGTGGCCCAATAAGGAGCTCCACAGAAGGCCCTAGTGGCGCAGTCCGCAAGCCGATCCGCATCCCACCGATGGGCTCAGTGGCGCAGTCCGCATGGCGGCGCCGCACCTATTTCGGCGCACCCCTCAAACGCTTCGTGGCACCATAAGGGGCCCCACCGAAGGCCCCAGTGGCGCAGTCCGCATGGCTGCGCCACAGCTGTTCGGCGCGGCAGACGCATCACACGCTTTGTGGCCCCATAGGGATCCACCGAAGGCAGCGGCACAGTCCGTCACACGGCACACCCCTCACACGCTTCGTGGCACCATGGGAAGCTCCACCGAAGGCCGAAGTGGCGCAGACCGCACGGCGGCGCCGCATCCATTTCGTCACACCCGTCACAAGTCTCGAAGAACCATACATGTCGGCACACCCCTCACACGCTTTGTGGCATCGTAGGGAGCTCTACCAATTGCTCAGTGGCGCAGTCCGCATGGCGGGGCCGCATCCATTGCGCAACACTCCTCGCACCTTGCGTGGCCCCATAGGGAGCTCCACCGATTGCCCCAGTGGCACAGTCCGCATGGTAGCGCAGCGCAGATTGCAACATACTTATCTCACGCTCCGTTGGCCCGTAATGAACTCCGTCGCAGGCAGACCACTGCTGGTAAACCTCCTCCTCCTCCTCCTCCTCCTCCTCCTCCCTCCTCCTCCTGCTCCTCCTCCTCCTCCTCCTCCTCCTCCTCCTCCTCCTCCTCCTCCTCCTCCTCCTCTCCTCCTCCCCCTCCTCCTCCCTCTCCTCTCCTCCTCATCCTCTCCTCCTCCTCCTCCTTTCCTCCCTCTCCCCTCCTCATCCTACTCCTCCTCCTCCTCCTCCTCCTCCTCCTCCTCGCCCCCATCACCATCCCGAGGCTCCGTGGACCTGCCCTCTGGGGAGGCTGCCGGGGCGGGGGCGCCGCAGGGCGCCCGCGCCGCGGGCGCGCCTCTTCAGCTTCGGGTTGTGCTGGTCGGAGTTCAGGAGGATGACGCTGAACGCCAAGGTGTAGGCGGCGTCCTCGGCAGATCAGCGGCCCTGGAGGTCGTGGTCGTCGTCGTCGTCGCCGCAGCCGCCGCCGCGCCGTTGCCGCCGCCGCCGCCGCCGCCGCCGCCGCCGCCGCCGCCGTCGTCGTCGTCGTCGTCGTCGTCGTCGTCGTCGTCGTCGTCGTCGTCGTCGTCGTCGTCGTCGTCGTCGTCGTCGTCGTCGTCGTCGTCCTCAACGTCGTCGTCGTCGTCGTCGTCGTCGTCGTCGTCCTCGTCGTCGACGTCGTCGTCGACGTCGTCCTCAACGTCATCGCCCCGTCGTCGTCGTCGTCGTCGTCGGTGTCGTCGGCGTCGTCGTCGTCGTCGTCGGGACACGGCGAGCCTTGACGAGGGGCGCGGAAGGGGAAGTTGGGGGAGGGCGAATGACAGGAAGGAGGAAAAGGGGCATGGGCGGAGAGGGATGAGAAGGATACGGCGAGGCAGGGAAAAGGGGAAGGGGCAGAGCAAATAATGGAGGGGGGCAGGGTTATAACCGAAGGAAACAAGGGGGCAAACTTGAGGTTGAGCGAAGAAAGGGGATTCTTAGCACAGAGAGCCACCGCCCGCCAACAACAACTGACAACAACCCGCATTCTTGCCCAAGGCTTCCCCCTAGGATCGCACTGCCGCAGCTCGGGCTGCGATCTCTTCACTTGCTCCCCGCCCCGCAGGCGGCGACGACCTCAGCCCACCCCCACCAATCCATCATCGATTCTGCCGCATCGATGTGGGCCGGGGGGAGGGTTCGGAGTTCGCCATGTGCTCGAAGAATTCCGAAGCCTACCCCGTATCCCATCGAGTTGCCTGACGCGTTGCTCGGCGAGGTCAAGGCTAGGATATCGCCCCCTCTCCCTCCCCCTGCCCCCCCCCCCCCCCCCGCCGCACCCCCCCCCCCGCGCGCCGCTGCGCGCCTGCAGCGCAGTCTGAAGGATTTGAGGTCTACCGCAGCCCCCCCCCCCTGCAGGCACACACACACAAAAACACAAATCTCTGGCTCTGGATGCCCTATAGTTTCCCATGTTCTTTCGATGTTCGTCTTCCCCCCACTTACCATATTTCCATACGTTCTGTCTCCGCGGTCCTGCTTCGCCTGCGCCAGGCCAACACCACGTTGCCAGCTCCGCCGCTGCCGCGTCCCCCCAACACCACACCCTCGACGCCGCGCCTCACTCGTGTAGCCGTTCGTGGTCGCGTTACGCGCAGGGGCTTGCATTCGTTACACGTTCGATCCACTGCCGATCCATGTTCGTTCTGCCCCTGCTCGAATACGCTCAAAATATGCCGCGGGCCTGGCGCCATCAGAGCACGACGACCGCGACTGGCACGGAACAGGGCAGTGATTTTTTGTTTCGTCGGCGGCGAGGCAGAAGCAATCCGCACCAACGTTGGGCTAATCGGGGGCACCGATCGGCAAACCGTTTTCCCCACATGTTTAGTCGGGTTTGAGTTGTCTTCCTTCCCGCGTCGTACCCGCGTCTCCTCCTCCCCCCTCCCCCCCCTTTCTCCTTCTCTCACAAGACAACACAGCGCAGCGCAGCGCAGCATAACACAATTTTGGTGTTCACCCCTGCCACGTCGCACCCGCGTCCCCCGCACACACACACACACACACACACACACACACACACACACACACACACACACACACACGCACACACACACACACACACGCACACACACACACTTCCCCCTTTTTCTCCTTCTCACACAGCATGGCGCAGCACAGCGCAGCACAGCACAGCACAGCTCAGCTCAACACAACAAAGCACACAGCACATTGACACACAGCACGTCCACAACACATCACAACAAAACAATGTCCAGCACCACTCAGCTCAAATCAGCACAGCCCAACTCAGCTCAGCACAGCTCACCCGCGAAGCTCACACACCTCCGCTGCGGGCTCGCAAAACGTGGCAAGTGTGGTATAGTCTCGACACCATAAGAGGGTACGCAAGGGGTGGTCTCTCATCGCGGCAGCTGTCCGTGACGGGCGTCCAGGGCACAAGAGGCATGGCATATTCTGAACACCATAAAGGGGTGCGGAAAGTGTGGTCCCCACGCGACCGCTGTCCGTGACGGTCGTCCAAGGCACAGCAGGCATGGCAGCTTCCCGACGCCATAAAGGGGAAACGCAAGGCGTGGTCTCTCACCGCGGCCGCGATCCGTGACGGCCGTCCATGGCACAGTAGGCATGGTATACTATCGACACCGTAAGGGGGTGCGCAGAGGGTGGTCTGAGAGACCGCCCCCTGCGCACCCCTTTGATGGTGTCGAGAATATGCCATGCCTGCTGTGCCATTCACGACCGTCACGGATAACGGCCGCGGTGAGAGACCACCCTCTGCGCACCCCGTATGGCGTCGAGAATATGTCATGATTCCTGTACCCTGGACGACCGTCACGGGTAGCGGCCGCGGTGAGAGACCACCACCTGCGAACCCCCATTATGGTGTTGAGAAAATGCCATGCGTGTTGTGCCTTGGACGACCGTCACGGATGGCGGCAGCGGTGAGAGACCACCACCTGCACCCCCTACGGTGCCGAGGAAATGCCATGCCTGCTGTGCCTTGGACGACCGCCGCGGATGGCGGCAGCGGTGAGAGACCACACCTTACGCACCCCCTCATGGTGTGGAGAATATGCCGTGCCTGCCGTGCCATGGACGACCGTCACGGGTAGCCGCCGCGGGGAGATACCACCCCTGGCGCACCCCCATATGGTGTCGAGAATCTGCCACGCCTACTGTGCCATGGACGACCGTCACGGATAGCGACAGCAGTGAGAGACCACATCGATGCGCGCGGCGCCGCGTCCTCTGGAGGCCGCCTGGATGGACTCGGAGTAGATGGGATCGGAGGATTGCGCCGCATCGCCGACGCATCGGCGATGCACCAGCGATGCATCGTCGACGTCGTCAATGCATCGGCGACGTCCACGCGAAGCAACTCGGGCTCCACATCGAGCCGCATCGGAGATGCATCGGCGATGCGGCGCGATCCTCCGACCCCATCTGGGAGGCTCAGAATCCTCTCCGCGAGACGCGCGCCTTCTGACCTAGGGGAGCTAAAACTGGTATACACAGAAAAACTCGAAGGTTCCAGGGATTTCGTGGATCCTCCTCCCTCCAACATACGCTGGTCCTCTCATTCTGCATGATTGTACCTTGGTTTTGTGCTCCTCCTCCTCCTCCTCCTCCTCCTCCTCCTCCTCCTCCTCCTCCTCCTCCTCCTCCTCTCCCTCCCCCTCCTCGTCCTCATCGTTCCCCTCCTCCGTGTCCTCGTCCTCCTTCTCCTCCCCGTCCTTTGAGCTCTGTGGCAAGTCTTTCGCTTGGTCGTGGGACGTCAAGACGCAGTCAGCAGTGCCGAGACCGCCCTTGGCGACCGCAAAAGCCCCCAGGCCTCTCTTGTGGCCCTAATCGGCCGCGTTGGGGTGTTCGGGGCTCCTCGTTGGCGCCGGTTCAGCCGTCAGGGTGCCCTGCCGTCATGGGGCATGGTTGTTGGGGGGCGGAAAGATACGGATACGTGTTGTCCCCGGACCTCTCTTGGGGTGCGTCCTGACCAGAATTTCGAGGCGAATGCAGCGGTGACAACGAGGATTCCCCAGGAGGACCAGGAAAGGCCGAAAACGAAGGGGGACAACACGTATCTGTATCTTTTTCCCCCCCGAGGTTGGGAGCCCCTGGGCCAGGGTGCGATGTGCGCCGGCAGTTCCTGCGGCGCAGCGTCGGCGCGGATCGCCCGCCGCGCTGCGCTGCGGCACGGATCTGGGCGCGCTGCGCACCGCCCGCGCCGCTCTGGGACCGCCAGGAAGCGCTTCGCGAGTGCCCCAGGCGTCCTCTTCTCCTGACTCCCAAACGCCTCCAAACGCCGCCAAGCGCCTCCCAAACTGAGCAGCCTCGAACAGATATCCCTATCCCTGAGATGGGCGAGCAAGAAGCGAGGGCACTCTCAGGGATGGGCCCTCAGAAACCGAGGGAATCCTTAAGATCGGCATCGAGGTGAGGTGATGGCAAACATAGGGATAGGGATGTGTTTCAAACTGGTAACATACGCCTCCCCTAACTACCTTCTCATCCTGTTGCCCGTTCCCCTGGCCGCCCTCCACTGCCGCGGCCACCCCTACACCCCATACTCAAATGTGACGCCCGCCGTTCATGAAGGCCGCCGTGCCCCGCAGGCGCAGGGCGCCTGGGAGCTCCCCTGCCTGTCCGCGCCGCTGAGTCAGGCCTGGATGGGCGCGCCCCGGACGCGGCACTACGCCTGCCTTGCGCCGGCTGCCGACACCGCGGCGCCCACTCCGCTGGCCAGTGTGGTGACGTCGGCTGCCAGCGGCCGGCGCAGCAACTTCTGCCGCGGGCTTGGCTCTTCAGACCCCGCCAGCTCAGGCCAATAGGCCTGCACGTGGCACTCCAGCGTGTAGCGCGCCCACTGGAACCCCCGGCGGCCCCGCAGGCAAATTTGCGCGAAGGGAAACGAAAAACAGGGACAGAGGGTGCCAACACAACACGGGAGCGGCCCCACCTGTTCCCCCTACCCCGAGTGAGGGGTACTGGGGAAAGCAGGGAAGGGGCGGCAGAAACGACAGCCAGAATGGAAAGGCGGAGCAAGGACGGGGAGGGGAGGAGACGGAGGAGAGAGTGGGAGGGGACCAGGGGACGAGGGAGGCAGCGGAGGCGGAGGGGGTGGCCGAAGAATGAGGGACCAAGGAGGACGAACGGGATCAAGAGAGAAGACCGAATCGCGACCCTGGCGTCTGACGAAGGTTTGAGATCGACACGTCCACTATTCTGAGTCGCCGGCCTTCGCTTACGTTGCCATCCAGCGGCCCCGAGCGAAACTCTGCTAGAAGTGCGAAACTCGAGAGGAACCTGGCTTGGCTTGCACAAGAGCTCTGCACTACACCTGCATGCATGCGCGAAGAGCTTCCTGCTCCCGGGGACCCCACGTCGCCCAGGGACCCCGTCGCCCAGGACGACTGCGACGACGACCACAAACCGCAGACGATGGCGACTACCACAACCGGCGACGGACAACGGCGACCCCTGGTCGCACTCGCGGCTGCTGGCGGCGGCAACGGCGGCGACGGCGGACGACGGCGACGACGGCGGCGACGACGACGACGACGATGCCGGAGGAGGAGGAGGAGGAGGAGGAGGAGGAGGAGGAGGTCGACGACGACGACGACGACGACGACGACGACGACGACGACGACGACGAACGACGACGACGACGAACGACGACGACGACGACGACGACGACGACGACGACGACGACGACGACGACGGCCGACGTCGGCGGCCATGGCCCCGCGCGCGCTCCGGGTGCTTCAGGTAGCCGGCGCCCGCCTCGCCCGAGCGGTCGCAGTGCTCGCGGTGCTTCCTCTCCCGCAGGCGGCGGGGGGGGCCGAGCCGCCCGCCGCGTGGCACGGCCGAGGGCACGCAAAGAAGTACACACAAGTAAAAATATTCCCCATAGTTTCCCATATTTTCCCGTATTTTCTGGGCTTCTGTCTTCCCCCTCACTTCCCACGTTTTCCAATGTTTTCTCATATTTTTCCATTTTTTTGTGGGCTTCTGTCTTCCCCCCCCCCTTTCCCACGTTTTCCCATGTTTTCCTGGGGATCGTAGATTCATTGTGTCTGTGTGTTGTTTCCCCTCCTGAGAGGGGCAGGCGAGGAGCAGGGCGAGCCAGGCCAGGAGAGGGGGGGCAGCGAGACGAGGCCAGGGCGAGGAGAAATCGAGGGTCTCTGAGATCTGGCGGCTCTGCGGGATGTCTCGGGCGCCGCGGCCTCCTCAGAGCGTCCCCCCCAATCGCTCTCAGGACGTTCAAACGTGGTGGTGACAACACCTGGCGGTGAGTCTCGGGCGATTTGGTGTCACCACCCGGTTTGGGGACTCGTGCGGTTTTCCGAGGATGTCCCGGACACTGGTGGGTCCAGGAGTCACAAAACCCGGCGGTGACCCCGCGTCCCCAAGCCCAGCGGTGACCTTTTTAGGGATTCCAGGTCGCCACCTGGTATCTCACCACCCAGTTTGGGGGTTCCCAATGATCCTCGTCCTGGCCCCGTCCCGGGGAGGCGTGAGGACGGAGGGGGAGGAGGGAGGGGGCGGCGAGGTCTACTCTTCCAGGATGGTTGGTCGGATCTGACATCTAACGGAATCCCCCCCCCTCCTCCGCCACCTGCCCCTCTGCTCCTTTCCTCACCTTGTACCCCGTCCCTCACTCTGCTTCTCCTCCTCTACGTTGTTCCTTCCTCATTCTCCTCCTCCTCCTTCGCCCCCTGCTCGTGCCAGACCGAGCACGTCAAACGCGAGCGACTATTGTTCGGAGCGTTCAACGGAATGCCAGACGATCGACGGGGCGGGCCAGGTTAAGCTCGTCCGTGTAAAGACGAAGATGGCGAGCTACGGCTGGGGGATGTTGCTGGCGCCATATAAACTTGGAGTCTAGATTTGGGTAGGCTCCAACGCCCTGGTGAAAATCCTTTGGTTTACGAGCTTCTACAACAATCAATTACTGCCATACGACATAAGCACCGCCGGCTAACATCAGCTCTGCTTATATGAGAGAGACATGGTGCTCATCAAGAGGAATTCTCGGTGGCCCCTAAATAATGAAAAACACTACATTCATAATAGTCTGAACGCATTCAAGAGATCGTGAGAACCTCAAAAATGTCAGCCGCACTCCTCATACTCTCTTACGAAACACGCCGACCAAGAACCATGCGCACCCCACCATCCCTGACACACATCAACGCATCCTGCCTACGTACCTAAACAATCTGCTTTACGTGCCCATAGCACTTGGCGGTTGATTTACGGATGACGGCATGACAAGAAATGCGCTTTGCTATGAAGTTCTAATGGGAGCCTTGCGCATTGCACGACACACCGGACCTGGCTCAAGTGACACAGTGCTTCAGGATATGGCATGGTTGAGGAAGTGATCGGGGTAGGACCGCGCTGCGCTGGAGACCCCAAGAGCAGCTGAAACTGGTGACCGTTTCGCAGCTCGCAGGCCCCCATCCACAGCAACGTCTGATTCGGATCTGCCCAGACACCATTCCGCTGAACCCCCCATGCAGTTTCACAGCTCGCCAACCCCAGGGGCGGCGAGGTCTCACTCTGGCATGGGTGGGCCCACCAAAGGGGCAACAGCTCTGAATGGGGTCCAGGGACACACAAAAAATTATACACAAATCCTGATGTTTCCCCATAGTTCATATTCTCTTGATTTTCGCATCCCCCCCACTTCACATATTTTCGTGCATTTTCCGGGTATTCGTCGATCGAAGACGCCTACGGCGAATCACCGCCGCCCCCTGCCTTTTTGGAAGCGCTTATGTGGCCGAAGGTTGTGGCCAGAGGCCTGCCAAGCTATCGGACCACGTGTTCCCCGAATCGGTTTGGAAAGCCTTCGGGGAACACGTGGGCATCTTGAAGGTCATCTTGGCCGTCTGGAGGCCATTCTGACCCTTTCGGGCCTTCTTGGAGGACGTCTTGGAGGGCTCTTGGGCCGTCTTGGAGGCTATCTTGAGCGTCTTGGAGACCTCTTGGGCCGTCTTGGGGGCCTCTTAGGGCCGTGTCTTGGGCCTCTTGGGCGATCTTTGTAGACATTTGGGCCATCTGGGGTCGTCGGAAGGCAGAAAAAAAAAGCAAATGCCACAATCCTTCAAAAACCCATGGACCTTTTCGGGCCTTCCTGGAGGCCCTCTTGGAGGCCTCTTGGGCCGTCTTGGGCCATCTTAGGGCCATGTTCGGCCGTCTTGGTGGGCTCCCGGTCCGTCTGACGCCGTCAGAAGCCGTTTGGTGGGCCTCTATGGGCCGACTTGGGTCCCTCTTGGAATGCTCCAAGGCCGTCTTGGAGGCCATCTTGGGCGTCTTAAAGGCCTCCTGTGCCCTCGTGGGGGCCGTCTTAGGGCCCTCTTGGGCCGTTCTGGGGCCATCTTGGAGGCCTCTTGGGTGATCTTTCGGCGATCTTTGGGGGCTCTTGGGCCGTCTCGGGCCGTCGGAAGACCGAAAAGAAGCAAATGTCAAAATCCGTCAAAAACCTCAGGAACATCCATGTTTTTTGCCTCTTCTGGCCTTCCTGGAGGCCCTCTTGGGGGCCTCTTGGGCCGTCTTGGGCCAGCTTCGAGCCAACTTCGGCCATCCTGGTGGGTTCCTGGCACGTCTGACGCCGTCAGGAGCCGTCTTGGGGGCCTTTCTGGGCCAACGGGGGACCCTCTTGGGGCGCTTCGGGGCCGTCTTGGAGGCCATCTCGGGCGTCTTGGAAGCCATCTTGGGCGTGTTGGAGGCCTCTTGGGCCGTCTTGGGGCCCTCTTGGGGCCGTCTTGGAGGCCTCTTTGGCCGTCTTGAGCCGTCGGAATGCCGAGAAGAAGCAAATTCCTATATCCTTCAAAAACCTAAGGAAAATCCGCTGGCCCCCTTGTGGGGCCACCAGGCTGTAGGCCCGTGATTCGCAGTTTCCTATACCAGTCGTAGGTTGTAGTTTCCAGTGTCACAGTTCTGATTCTTGCTGGTTACTGTAACTAGTTGACTTATTGCTGGTTACTGTAACTAGTTGATTGACCGCGCGAGGGGGGGGGAGGCTCAAAGTGGCTTTTTAGCGTCCCCTGGGCGCGTTGTCTGAATTGCTGGGGGGGCTCGAAATCGACACCACTCACGCAGATCCGCGGGGTCAGGGTCCAAAAACACACCGGATTTGCCACATTTCTGAAATTCGGTGCCACCCCTCACGCAGATCCGCGGGGTCAGGGTCCAAAAACACATGGGATTTGCCACATTTCTGAAATTCGGTGCCACCCCTCACGCAGATCCGCGGGGTCAGGGTCCAAAAACACATGGGATTTGCCACATTTCTGAAATTCGGTGCCACCCCTCACGCAGATCCGCGGGGTCAGGGTCCAAAAACACATGGGATTTGCCACATTTCTGAAATTCGGTGCCACCCCTCACGCAGATCCGCGGGGTCAGGGTCCAAAAACACATGGGATTTGCCACATTTCTGAAATTCGGTGCCACCCCTCACGCAGATCCGCGGGGTCAGGGTCCAAAAACACATGGGATTTGCCACATTTCTGAAATTCGGTGCCACCCCTCACGCAGATCCGCGGGGTCAGGGTCCAAAAACACAAGGGATTTGCCACATTTCTGAAATTCGGTGCCACCCCTCACGCAGATCCGCGGGGTCAGGGTCCAAAAACACAAGGGATTTGCCACATTTCTGAAATTCGGTGCCACCCCTCACGCAGATCCGCGGGGTCAGGGTCCAAAAACACATGGGATTTGCCACATTTCTGAAATTCGGTGCCACCCCTCACGCAGATCCGCGGGGTCAGGGTCCAAAAACACAGGGATTTGCCACATTTCTGAAATTCGGTGCCACCCCTCACGCAGATCCGCGGGGTCAGGGTCCAAAAACACAGGGGATTTGCCACATTTCTGAAATTCGGTGCCACCCCTCACGCAGATCCGCGGGGTCAGGGTCCAAAAACACAGGGGATTTGCCACATTTCTGAAATTCGGTGCCACCCCTCACGCAGATCCGCGGGGTCAGGGTCCAAAAACACAGGGGATTTGCCACATTTCTGAAATTCGGTGCCACCCTTCACGCACATCCATCGCAAGGCGTGGTAACCCAAACTGCGAGAACTCCCTCGGCCCTTTAATCGCAAGGTGTGGTAACCAAGCCCGTAAACCATACACGTCTTACCAATCGCCAGGTGTGGTAACCCCTCTTGTGATCAGTTGGTTTTGCTGATTGCGAATCGGCTTCGCATGAAGTTTCGATACTGCTTCACGACAGCGCCAAGGCCTCATGACTTAGCTCTTCCATGGCCCATTCTCCGAGAGAGGGGGCCGGCGGCAGGGGGCGAAGCCCTTACGGATCAATGATGTTGGCCTCTTCGGGCCCTCCTGGAGGACCTCTTGGAGGCCTCTTGGGCCGTCTGGGATGCCTCTGGGGGGCCTCTTGGGCCGTCTTGGGCCGTCTTGGACTCTCTTGGGCCATCTTGGAGGCCGTCTTGGACCATCTTGGGCGGACTTGGAGGCCATCTTGGACCATCGTGGAGGCCATCTTGGGCCAACGTGGCCATCTTGGAGGCCATCTTGAGCCGTCTAGGAGGATTTTTCCGGGAATTGGGCGATCTACGGGTGGCCGGCGGGTCGGGCCGAAACCCACTGGGAGAGTTCTTTCGGAAAAAGAACCAAAACCAAAACCTATATAGTCTGGCACGCCAGGCACCCCTTTGCGAAAGCAAAAGGGGGCGGCGGATTACTCGTGTCTGTATTTTTGTCCCTCCTGGAGCTTCGCAGCTCGCAGCCCCCCAAGGCCGTATCGGTCGTATTCTGACCCGCGTAGGACGCCGTTCCGCTGGACCCCCCAGGCGCCCCCGAGTGTGTCATTATGATGTTGGAAGTGCCGCACTGCGATGACCCCCAGGAACGCACTGGAGTGGTGACAGTTTCGCAGCTCGTAGCCTCCGGGGGCGGCGAGGTCGCATTCTGAGTTGCGGACGGGGCCACCCCGTTCGACTCCCCAGGAGTCCACCAACGTGGCGACGGCTTCGCAACTTGCAACTCAAACGGACGGCGAGGACCGATTCTGATCCGGGTGGGACCGTACTACATTGGACTCCCCAGGAGCCCACGAAGGTGGCGACAGCCTCGCAAGTCACAACACCCCCACTGACAGCGAGGTCCCACTCTAATCTAGGTAGGACAGCGCTACTCTGGACACCCGAGAGGCCCAAGAACGAGGCGGCAGCTTCGCAGCTCGTAGCCCCAAGGGGTGGCGAGGTCTATGTGTTGTTTGTTCGGTCGTTTGTTTGTTTATTAATGCAGTGTTTCTCTCTGTCTCTCTGTATCTCGCTCTTTTTTTTTTCTCTCTCTCTCTCTCTCTCTTTCTCCCTCGCTCTTCTCTTTTTTTTGCTCTCTCTCTCTCTCTGTTTTTTGTGTTGTTGTTGTTGTTGTTGTTGTTGTTGTTGTTGTTGTTGTTGTTGTTGTTGTTGTTGTTGTTGTTGTTGTTGTTGTTGTTGTTGTTGTTGTTTGTTTCTCTCTCTCTCTCTCTCTTTCGCTGGTCCGCACTTAGCTGGACCCCCCCAAGAGGCCACGAATGTGGTTGCAAGTTCGCAGTTCGCAGCCACCTGGGGCGGCGAAATCGGGATAGGGTAACGATACGCAACCCCCCCCAGGAACCCAAGACAGTGTCGATTCTTGCGCAACTGATAACTCCAACGGTGCAGGCAAGACACAGAATGAGCCCAACAAAAGAAGGCAGATAACAACACGTGGGTGGCGACAACATCTTGATAGTGCGCAATACCCCCAGAGTCAACTGCATGGGCTGTTGATCCGGACGACTGGAGTGTGAACATATTTGGTCGCGGCGCGCTGCCCGGCCGCCCTTGGAACCCATTGCGCTGCCATCTCGCTTGCAGATGCACGCGCAAAACGCCATGCTGACCACAACAGCCGCAACTTTACAATGGATTGCGACACGGATGAGAGGGGGGGTCAGCAGATTGCCCGCTTCGTAAGGCCACGTGCACTGGCGCAGTCCGTGCGCGTCGTGCGCCTGGACCGGCTGGAGCAGGTCATGCGCTCGAGTACGCGTGCACTTGCCGCGCGTGGAATACGTGGCGCATCCAGCGCAGCAGGCTCGCCTGGCACGCGTGGGCCCTTGATTTCTTGGATCTGTGCTGGATCCCCTCTCTGGCGGGAGGAGCGCGCCAGGGTTGGCGCCTGAGGGTGGAGGGCCCAGCGCGGATCTAAGCAACCCGCGCGGAACGACAACAATTTATGTTTGTGCCGTCTTCTTCATCGAACAGTTTCTTCCAAGATGGAGCACGCGTTTTCTGAGCTTGCTCGTGGGTGGAAGGCTTCGGGTGAAATCCATATGGGCCTGTTGCACCTTGAAAAAATCAGTCTCGTGGTTGGGTGGCTTTCAGGGTGGAGCTTGTGTTGAAAACCGGCCTGTGTATATGCAGCGCCTGGCTTCTGCTACGACGTCACGATTGCGCCCACACGTGATCAGGCACGGCTGATGGCTCGCACCAGGCAAGATTTCAAACAATGCTTTACCGCCCCGCCAATGTCACCTGTGGTTTGTTCGTGCCTCGACGAATCAACGCTCAGCGCATCTGCGAATGGCAGGCGGGCGCAAATCCTTTTGACATCGTACTAATTTGTGTCCCTGGCTGGCTGGGTGGTTCGCAATTGCTTGGTTGGCTGGGCGCTTGACTGTTGGGCTGGGTTGTTGGATGGATGGCTGGCGGGGTGGCTGGCTGACTCTGGGACCTCGAGCACGCGACTGACGCCAGACAGGTAAACGGTCGCGCGACTGGCGAGCGGCAGGTGTGCGAGCACGCGGCTGGCACCCGACGGGTGAACGAGCACGCGATTGGCGCCCGACAAGTCAATCCAGAATTCTAGAATCTTTTTTGCGTTCTAGAATTCACTTCGTCGTCCTAGAATTGTTTTGGCCGTCCTGGAACTTGTTTTTGTCTGCGCTTGATAAAATGTGAAAGTCTAGAGTTTGGTCGTGCGTTCTATAACTAGTTCTGCTGTTCTGGAATCCGCCGGCCCACCTTGTGGGGCCACCAGGCTGCACGGCGAAGGTTCGCAGTTTCCTGTACCAGTTGCAGCTTCCACCTCTCACTGTTACAGTTATGTTTCTTGCTGCTTACTGATCCTTGCTGACGTCTTGCTGCTTACTGTTCCCTGTTGATGGACCGCGCGAAGGAGGGAGGCCCAAAACTGACATTTTGACAACGGCCAAAACGTATTATCTGAATTGCTGGGGTGGGTAAAAGTTAACACCCCTCACGCAGATCGGCGAGGTCAGGGTCCAAAAACACACGGGATTTGCCGCATTTCTGAAATTCGGTGGCACCCCTCAGTCAAATCGGCGGGGTCAGGGTCCAAAAACACACGGGATTTGCCACATCTCGGACATTCGGCGGCATCCCTCACGCAGATCCGCGGGGTCAGGCTCCAAAAACACATGAGATTTGCCACATGTCTGACATTCCGTGGCACCCCTCAGGCAGATCGGCGGGGTCAGGGTCCAAAAACATAAGGGATTTGCCACATTTCTGAAATCCGGTGGCGCCCCTCACGCAGATCGGCGGCGGGGTCAGGGTCCAAAAACACATGAGATTTGCCACATGTCTGACATTCGGTGACACCCCTCACGCAGATCGGCGGGGTCAGGGTCCAAAAACATATGAGATTTGCTACAGTTCTGACATCCGGTGGCACCCCTCACGCAAATCGGCGAGATCAGAGTCCAAAAACACACGTGATTTGCCACATTTCTGACATTCGGCGGCACCCCTCACGCAGATCGGCGGGGTCAGGGTCCAAAAACACAAAAGATTTACAACATGTCTGAAATTCGGTGGCACCCCTCAGGCAGATCGGCGGGGTCAGGGTCCAAAAACACATGAGGTTTGATACATGTTTGAAATTCGGTGGCACCCCTCACGCAGATCGGCGGGGTCAGGGTCCAAAACATATAGGATTTGCCACATTTCTGAAATTCGATGGCCCCCCTCACGCAGATCGGCGGGGTCAGGGTCCGAAAACCCAAGGGATTTGCCATATTTTTGAAATTCCTACAGCAGGGAGTACAACAATAGACTCGCAATCTCCATTCGTCTTGCCCATTACCCATCGTCTTCGCATGAAGTTCCGACGCTGCTTCACGGTGAAGCCAAAGCCTCGTGGCTTCGATCTTCCATGGCCCCTTCTCCGAGAGAGGGGGCCGGCGGCAGGGGGCGAAGCCCTTACGGACTCATTAGCCTTGCGACTCTGGAAAATCGTTCTGCGTTCTAGAGTCCGCCTTGCCTTTCTAGAACCGCCACTGGCCGTCTGGCAGGAATGTCGTGGGAAAGACGGCGGGTGTCCGGGGCCCATCGCTGGGCGGCGGGGGTGGCCCCCAGTGGGCCCCCGAGCTGGCTTCGGAGCAAAGTATGCCAGACTTGCGGCGCCACCGTGCTCCAGCTTAGCGACATGGGGGACACGGGCCTGGACTGAGAGAGGGCGAGTCGAATGAAGGTGCTGGCGACGGCGCGGGCGTGGTCCAAGGCCGAGCGCAAGAGGCTCAAAACATGGTGATGCGTCACTGGCCCGCTGCCATTTGCGATTAGCTTGGGTGGGCGGATGATGATGGTGATGACGATGGTGACTATGATGGTGATGGTGATGGTGATGGTGATGGTGATGGTGATGGTGATGATGGTGGTGATGATGATGATGATGATGATGATGATGATGATGCGGCTGCGGCTGCTGCTGCTGCTGCTGCTGCTGCTGCTGCTGCTGATGATGATGATGATGATGATGATGATGATGATGATGATGATGATGATGATGATGATGATGGGGTGGGTGGAGGGGGACGGGGGAGAGAGGGAGGCAGAGGGAATCTGCTGGACTCCGCTGTGCGCCGCAACGCGGCCATCCTCCCTCCGTCGCTACTACCGCTATCCTCAACATCCACTGCTAAGGTGTGCTGCTGCGTGCCGTCACCTCCGCCGCTGCCAACCGAGCCCGACCCACGACGCCGAGCAGCCACCTCCCTCAAGGCGGCGACGGCAGTGGGCGGGCCAGCGGTGACGGCACAGCGCGGGGCCACGCAGTCCTCCACACTCATCGCGGCCGCCGTCGCGCTCGGGTGGCGGGCCGGCGACACGCGCATATATACTCGTCCAAGGGGTCGTGCAAGACCCCCCACGCCCCCGACACAGGAGCTCCTTGCCCCATGGGAGTCAGGGGCTGGGCGAGAGCGGCTCACAGACTCCTCCGTCTGCGCCGCGATCACAGACACTGGTGGACCACGATAACTGGGGAAGAGCCCCTTCTGAATTCTACGCAAATGAGGGCGGCGGCGGCAATTGAGACCGTCGGCCAAAGATGGGTCCTGTAGTACGTGTGCGCGAAGATCTTGAGCACGCGGTCTATCTGCTGCGCCTCCTTCGGGAGCAAGAACGCCTCTAGGGCCGCGGGACCCTCTCTGCCCTCTTTCCCTCCCTCTCTCCCTCTCGTTCTCTCTATGTCCCTCTCTCTGTCTCTCTCCCTCTCTCTCTCTCTCTCTCTTTCTGTCTGTCTGTCTGTCTGTCTGTCTGTGTCTGTCTGGTTGTCCGTCTCTCTCTCTCTCTCATGCATTAGTTCTCCTATACTCTCTACCTTTGGCACGGGCCAAGGAGGCTAGTCGGCACAGCTCGCGCCGGTCAGGACAAAGTACCTCATGGACCTAGGATAATAATAAGAGGAAGGCGAATACTAATCCACAAGAAGGCGAATCCTAATCCACAATATTAATCAACAAGAAGGCGAATCCTAATCCACAATAACAATAACAAGGATAATCCTTGTTATTGTTATTATCCTGATCCTAGGATCATAACAATAACAAGAAGGCGAATGCTAATCCACAATCTTAATCCACACATCTCATGGCAGGTGCAGACCGCTGGCGGGGCAACCCTGGCACATCCACGCCGATGTTCTCCGAGGCCCCAGGGCAACCTGGCAGAGGATGGGGGTACGTGGGTGCGTCCTGGGGGCTGTCTGCGGAGCAAGACGACGACCAGGAAGGAGGGATGATTAGGAGGCGGTGGAAGAAGAGGAGGTGGAGGCAGGAGGGGGCCAGTAGAAGGGGAGGAGGAGGAGGAGGAGGAGGAGGAGGAGGAGGAGGAGGAGGAGGAGGAGGAGGAGGAGGAGGAGGAGGAGGAGGAGGAGGAGGGATGCTGGACAGCGGGGACGAGGACGGGGACGAAGACGATGCCGAGGCGAGCAGGACCCTGGCGGCGGCGGGGGCGGCGGGGCGGGCGAGGAACCCGACGAGCGGCAAAAAGGGCGCGGGGGAGGACGGCCTGGTAGGACGGCGCACGACGGCGAACGGGTGCGGCGGCGGCGGCGGCCGCGTGCACAGGAGCGCCCCCGCGCGCCACCCGGGCGAGCCGAGCTCCGGCCGCACGGGGGGCGGAGAGTCGGAGGCGGAGGCGCCGCGGCGCGCGCCGGGCGCCTGCAGGAAGCAGCGCAGCGCCTGCGGGCCGCCCGCCCCCCATGCCACGCCGCTCGGCGGCGCGCCGGGGCGGGGGGAGGGGGAAGTGAGGCTGCGGGCCCCAAGAGGAGATGCCACCTTCACCTTCACCTTCACCTTCACCTTCACCTTCACCTTCACCTTCACCTTCACCTTCACCTTCACCTTCACCTTCACCTTCACCTTCACCTTCACCTTCGCCTTCACCTTCGCCTTCACCTTCACCTTCACCTTCACCTTCACCTTCACCTTCACCTTCACCTTCACCTTCACCTTCACCTCACCTTCCCACCACCCCCACCACCACCACACCACCACCACCACCACCACCACACCACCACCACCACCACCACCACCACCACCACCACCACCACCAACCACCACCACCACCCACCACCACCACCACCACCACCACCACCACCACCACCACCACCACCACCACCACCACCACCACCACCACCACCACCACCACCACCACCACCACCACCACCACCACCACCACCTCCATTGCCTTTCCTCCTCTGCCCTCACTCTTCCTCTCCTCGGCCCTGGGGGGCTTATGGGCGGGAATGACGGTGGTGGTGGTGGTGGTGGTGGTGGTGGTGGTGGTGGCGTAGATCATTGGGCCCCGTAGGGAGGGGGTAGGCCTTCTTGAAAGGCGGCGGGGTTTCTCAATAACCCTGCGGCCTTCTGAGGAAGGTCCTCCGCCTGCGGGGAGGGCCCAGAAACAACTTCTCTGAAGGCCCAGGGCCTTCCGAGCCTTCTGAGAAGGCCCGCCCCTTCTGGCTCCCCTCTGAAGCTCGCCGCCGACCATCGCAGCTCGGCATTCGCGGGGGATGGCCGGGCCGCCCACCTCGGCACGAAAAAGCGTCACCAAGGCTCTACACAAACCGTGTTTCGGCCCGCCTGTGACGCAAAACGAAGGCCGAAGCGACAACGACCCACGAAAGCGCCCCACAACATAATCTGGGCCGAGCCCTGAGCGATATCTGGAGCAGGAGGAGGAGGAGGGAGGGAGGTGGGAGGAGGGAGGGAGGAAGCGGGAAGGAGGAGGGAGGAGAGAAGAGGAAGAAGGGATGGGGGAGGAAAAAGGAGGGAGGAGAGAAGAGGAATGGAACGGAATGGAGGTCCACAAGGGATGCAAAAGAAAAGCTGACTCGGCGAGAGGCCGACATCCTGACCCTGAGAGGCTGGCCCCACCACTGACTCCGAAGAAGCCTCCTCCTCTGTGGCCCTGTCGCGCCGGCTTGGGCGCCACCGCTCGCCAGCGCTCGGACGTCCACTCCGTGTGCTGTTTGTCGGTTTCGTGCGTGGCGTCTTCGCCACATGGTCAAAGATGCTCCTCGATGGTCCTCACGGGAGGAAAGATGCACTCGGGGATGGACAGACCTGCCTTTAGTAAAACGTGGTTTAGCGAAAACGACCTGAGGCCCAAACCTGGCGGGCGCAAGCCTGGAAAAGAACGGCCGCGGCGCCCCCTCGGGAACCGAGAACGGACAATTCACGAATCGACGTGTCACTGTTGGGGGCTCTGTCCATCCCCGATGCACCCGCCCGAGCGATGCCAGGACCGCCTGGCGGCCTCCTCCACGCCGCCGTCGGCCAGGCCGTGGGCTGCCAAGGCCTCGGCCCTGGTGGGCAGGCGTCCGGGCGCCTTGCCCCCCGCCGCGGGCCCGGCTGCGGGCGGGCCCTGCCGCGGGCCCCGTGGCCGGAAGCTGGCCCGAAGCAGCACGCGGAGGGAGGCCCGCCGCGGAGGGCTCCCGCAGCCCGGAAAACGCCCCGTGTGCGGCACGTCGGGTGCCCTGGGCGCGCGCCGTCCGCGAGGCGCGCCCCTCTTCCGGTGCGGATGCCATGACAACGGGCACTCTCACAATCCGATCATTGACTGGTTACAGGACGCTCTCACAAACCGATCATTGACTTAAAGATGTGTGTGAAGTGTATAGAACATGTTCCATGAATGTTTCAATCACGCGTTTTACATAAAAAGCACGCTTGCAATATGTTCTAAACATCTGGGAAGTCTGTGGCAGCGCGCTTCCTCTCCATTGGTCGACTTCCACAACTCTTTTGGCTCTGGAGCGCGGTCGTGGTCGCTCCGCGGCACGCGCCCGCCAAGGTCTGCGGGCGCACTTCGTGCCAGCAGGCCCCGCACTTCACGCGCGCCACCATGGTATGCGGGAGGCGGCCAGGCGCGGCGGCCTCGGCAGCCCTGAGATGGCGGGGGGCTCCCAAGGCTCCCAGTGCCAGCGCCTTCCTGGGCGCCGATGCCATCGCATGCGGCGGGCCCCCTCGGCCAGCGCCGCCCTCCTGCTGCGCCGTCGGCCGGGCCTCCAGGTCATCGCAATCTGTGGTGCCTCCGTCGGCCACGCGAGCGTGGAGCTCCCCTGACCAACGCGAGGCCTCCTGGGCGATGTCGCATCGTTAGCGTCAGCGTGAGTTCCTCGGCTTCCGCGGGCATGCCGTGGCAGGCTGCGCCGCGTTTGGCCTACGCGTCTGCTGCCGCGTTTCCAACCCGCTCCCAGTGGGTCGCCCTCCCCGCCTCGACGTCAGCCTGCGTTGCGCGGGCGAGGACTTTGATGACTGCGAAGCCGACGATCCCAGAAAGAGGAAAAAAATGATGGTCTCCACAGATGGGCCCGCTATCTCCTGGGCGCCTCCCCTGGACCGCGCCGAAGCGCAGAAACGGTGCCCGCGCAATCGACGAAGAGGTCGAGATGCCCCGGCGCCGCGTGCTGGAGTGCGAAGATGGCGAAACCTGCGCCGTCACAGCTGAGCTGCCCGCCCCAACGGTTGCACTGCACGACTGCCCACCCAGCCCTGCGCATGCCTGGGGGGCACCCGGCGAAGGCGGAGCCGTCGGTGAATGGCACGCCCCCCGGCGGCCCCGAACTGCGCCGATCCCACCAATGGATTTCGAACTCTTGGCAGCCAAGCCCTCCCCAGGCGCTGGGGGTTGGGAAACGCCCCGCGCGCGAACCACTCGGCAGCCACATCGCCCCTGCGCTGCGACTGCCGCGCCCTGGCCACTGGAAAAAGGGAGGCAGCGGTCCACCTCAGGCCGGCGCGGGCGTCGCGCTCGCACGCCCTGTGGAAGAACCCGCGGGCTGCGAGACCACGCCGCCGCGGCCGCCCCCGGCGCCAGTGCGCGTTGACCACGGGGGCCCGCAAGGAGTTCTGCTGCCGCATATTCCAGTCGCGCGCCGAGCCCCACCGCGACGGCCGCGACGGCCAGCTGATCGGCTGCACCCGGCGGGGCTCGCCACGCACTTCCCTGGCCTCGCGCGCCAGCGCCGTGCAGTCCGATGCACGCCGGGCGGCGTCTCGCGCGAGACGGGCGGCCAAAGCTGGGGCCGCTCGTAGCAGGGCCAATCGGGCGCCAGCGTCGGCGACCACCGCGCCCTCGCCCTCGAAACGCCAGCCGCGCCGCCCAAATGTCAGCGGCGCCACGTCCGCGGGCGAGATGGCCCGCGACAGCGGGCGCAGGAGGCAGCCCAAGCGCGCTGCAGCATCCGCCAAGTATTTCCGGAGGGCTCCGCGAAGCGGCAGCCCCTCCCAGACAGCGCGAGCCGACTGCTGCGCCACGGCGTCGGCGTTAATGGCCAGCGGGCCCACGGCCGGGGGGCAGCCGAAGGGCGCCGCGCGCGGCCCCGCGGATGCGCCTTTCGCGGCGGGCCCGAAGCTCCGCAGCGCCTGCGCGACGAGCCGGCGCAACACCGCGGGCGCCAGGCTGGTCGCGGCGGTCCGCGGCGCGGCAGTCGCCGCGGGCCCCCCCCGCCGGACGTTGTGGACTGGCCCTGCTGCGGCGCGGAATCTGTTGAGGCGCCGGGCCTGGGCCATGGCAGTGGCCTGCCGCTCGGCGACGATGCTGACCCGGCGGCGGCCCCCATCGTTGGCGCCAGCCCCGAAAGTGCGCGCGCTGGGCCCAGAAACGCGGCGCTAGCGCCAAGCGCTCCGAGAGGGCATCCTCGACGCCACTCGCGGAGATGAGATGGGCGAGCTTCTTGCGGGCCACTGGCAGCTCCAGCTTGGCGAAGCCGCCCAGGGCCTCCACGACGGCGTCACCCAGCTGCTCTGCGACTCCCCTCTGCGCCCCGACCCCCTGGATGGCGACGTCGCCCGCGACGTTCCGGACGGCCGCGCTCGGCCCCCCCGCCATGGCGCCCGCGAGCGGCCTGATCAGCAAGGGCTGGGATCCGAGAGAGGCAGCGCCCCAGAAGCCCGCCGCGATGGCCCCAGAAGGCTGCGCAAAGCGCGATACTGCACCGTTGCAGGTGAACACGAACAGCGCCACGCACACGGTGCACGAGGCGCGCAGCGCCGGCAACGGGAAGTCCTCCGCCGGCCTGCTGAAGTGCAGGCGGTTCGCCTCCTCGTAGAACTTCTCGATGTCAATGATCGCTCGCAGGACTTGGGCCCACCTCCCCAGAAGAAACTGCAGGGGTGGGCCTGCGCCCGAGCCTGGCAGAGCGGTTGCCGCGCCCGACTGCAGATCTTGAGAAGCAACGGCAACAAACCGATCGGCCTCGCCCCGCCGTCGGGCTTCCCGAAGAATATGGCGCTGTTCGTCAGCGTGTCCGCCATGGCGATGGTCTGCGCTGGCTCGGCCTCGAAGGAATATTCAGCAGGTCGACGCAGCGCTGCTGCGACTCCAGGGGCAGAGCGAGGATCCACTGGGGATGGGACTTGTCCCATCCCAATCCTGCCTGGGGCTTGCGCCGCCTGCAGGCGCGGTGGGCCCCGGCCGACGTGATGGAGATCAGGCCCTCGGGGCGCGCCCACTTCCATGGCTCTGCGTTCTGATGTCTAGCCCACGCGGGCAGCGACTCAGCCCGCAACGCTTCCAATGCATCGTAGCCATTCACGGGCAACAAACATCGTTTTCGATCGCCCTCGCCCTCCAACTCTGACTGCAGCAAATCCGCGGTAGCCGGGGCCCTTCGACACTCCCGCGGGCCGCCCCCCCTGGATTGACTGACGCGCGAAGTCTCGCCAGCGCCCTCTGGCCACCGCGGCGCGCGCCACCTGCGCCTGAGCGCCCGCGCCCAGGATCGCACCCTGGATCCGTGCACAGGCGCGCCAAGATCCCCTCCGAGGGCAGCCCAGAATCCGCGTTGCCGAGGGCCCGAACGGCGCGTCGAAGCACACCTTGGGCACGCGGCGCCCGCCCTCCAGGCTCTCGGCCCTATCCAAGGGGATGTGGGATAGGCCTCACCCCGCCGAACAAGGGAGATGCACGCGCGCTGTCCGAGCTGCGCGGGGAGCGCGCTGCGGCCACCATGATCCTGACCTGGTCCGACTAGTGGGCGCAACTCCCGCGCCAGCAGAATAAGTCAGTGGTAGCCGCGCTGTGACCTGGGCCTGGGTTGCCCGCCCACGCCTGCAGGTGCGACGCTGACGCCCCGGGCTGCCCAAGGCACGTCCAGCTTCCATATCTCCGCGGCCAAGATATCCAGCAACCCGATGTTGTAGTCGCCGAAGCCTGAGGAGGTCTCGAGGTAGACAAAGAACGCGGCCACCCGCACGCCTCCGACGTGCAACGCCTGGCCGGCGGGGCGGCCCTGGCCCTGCTCGCCCAGCTCGAGCGCCGGATGGGCCGAAACCATGGGCCGTGCGCACCCTGCGGCCACCTCCCAGGAGGATTCGAGGGGCCCTGGCCCTGACGATGCCACCTCACTGACTGCCATGGCCATGGCCAACCCAATTTTGAGCGCGGCCTTCGTGCTCCGACAACTTGGATGCGGGTCTCCTGGACGCACCGTGCGTTTGGCGGATGGCGACGGCCGCCCTTTTTTCGGTCAGGGGCGCGTGCAAGTCGAGGACTTTCTGCGCCGTGCCCCAGGTGCCCCCATTGACCCCGAGCAGGCGCAGGTCGGCCGCGCAGCGCCCTGCCGCGCGCCACTGGGCCCCCCCTGGGCATGCATCGCGGGCGTCGCACTGGCGGCGCGGCCTGCTCCTGGGGCCATTCCGGTTGCTGACCCGTGGACCCCCTTTTCCGCGTGCCGATGGTCGCGGCGACGTGCTGGCCGGCCAGCCGCACGGCCGCCTCAGCGGCGGCGCGTCCGGCAACGCGATCCCCATCAGGAGCGCCAGCGCCAGGGGCAGCATCCAGCACGCCCAACATCGTGTCCGAGGCTTCCAGGTCCTCGGTATCGAACATGTCGAGTTCGACGGTTTCCGGTTACGTTTCCCCCGCGGCGGCCTCGCCTCCACCGACAACGGCTGCAGCGGCGGGCGCGCCGGCCGCAGGGGCAGCCGAGGCCTTTTCCTACGCCGCTGCAACCTCCAGAACGGCCTCGGCCGCCTCCGCCAGGGCATCAACCACTGCCTTGTAGGGCCCCGCGGTCTTCCCGACCAGGAGCTCGCCGAGGTTCTCCGAGAGCTCGAGCGCCGCGTGCGCAAACCGCCCTCGGGGTCGTAAGGGTAGCGGCGCGCATGAACTGCTGCGTCAACTGTACCAAAGTATGCCCCGTCTTCTGTGGATGCCAGGAATTAGAATGAGGGCGATCCTGCTGTCTGATCCATTGATCAGCAGGAAGCACAACAATACCGCGGCCAAAAAAATCTTGAACATCTCGGCCATGTGCTCGTAGAGCGTGTCCAGTACTCCTCACTGGTGGGCCTTGCCAGGATCCGTGACAGTAGGGGGGCGGGAACAGTCCAGAACCTCGACGCAACGGCATATGTCCACTGTGACATGTTCTGGAATAGTAAGAACAACGTTGCCTTGTAAAGAAATCCAGCGCTTTTCGTAGCCTGCTGATAATTGCGCGCGGGCGCGATGTTGGCACCATTTCATCCATTTCCCGTCCGTGGTAACGTCGTTGCCAGACCACCAGAGCAGAGCACTGATGCCGCGCTGGCAATGGCACTGCTTGACGAAGGCTGGGAAGCGGTCCGCCCAATAGGCTCAGGGCACCCCATTGAGCTCGCGGTACTCTTCGTTTCTACCAGTCATATATAGTGCACGGGCACGGCGGACATGAGCGCAGCGATGATCTGTTTCTGCTCCTCATTGGCTGGGTCGTTGGAAGCCATGATCTCGTCAAGGCGACCACGGAAAGTAACGTGGTAAGCCTCGCGTGCGGAAGCCGGCTCCTGAGTGCGGGCGCCGCCGCCGGCCCCCGGCAGCAGCGGTAAGTCGCGCCCAAGCGGCGCGTCGCACTCCAGCCAATAGCGCTTGTAGTTGTGGCGCGAAAAAACCCAGAACAGGATGTCATCTCTCATCCGCGTGGCAAAATCCGCAAACGTCGCACCTGCCTGGCATTGGAAGTCATGCGTCCATGGACAAACCAATGGTGCCAGTGCTGGATTGGAGGCGCCAGCGATCCGATGGCGTGCCTCAATGGAGTTCAACTCATCGATGCCAGCACATGGCGTCGTCGTGCTCTTTTGGCCACTCGCGGACTTCGACGCCATGAGACAGCTGGAATCACTGTAGAGGTTGACCCACATGACGGCGTGGCCGTCGGGGCCGAAAGCATGGATAACGGTGAAGCCAGTCCTCGCCCCGGAATGGGGCCCATCCGCGCTCACTCATCATGCAAGAGAAGCGCCTGCCATCTGCAAATGCTGACCAGCGTTACGCCGGTCGAAGTGCAGGGTGTTGTCGGCTGCTGTGACTTTGTAGGCCAATTGTTGCGTCTGCCCTCGAGCATGCGGCCGGCCTTGTGTTCCTGGCCCGTGAGATTCTTGATGCGGTAGCGTAGCTCAAAATTCACAACAACAGTGACTCCGGCTGCGAATTTGCAGTCGATACTCTCGAAGTCGCCGCTGTCCTGGGGGTCATCGTAGGTAAATGTGGGTTGTTCTGCAACGCAGAGGAATGCGTAAGCCTTAGCAGGGCGCCCACAAGCGCTGCCAAAGTTGTTGCGAACCGTCCACTCCCACTCCTGTAGCTGTGTAGTGCGTGGCAGTTGTGATATACGTACGGTGTCGAACTCTTTGATAGGAGTGGTATTGGTAGCAGAGACGTGTGATAACGTCTGCGAAGGAACCGGTTGTGGTGGAGATGGAGGTCGCACAGGGACAACGTGACGCGTCTGAGCCGAAACCGCGGCTGAAGCGGCGCCTGTCGAGGTACGTCGTGCATGGTCTGTGCGGATGTCTCCATCGGCAGGCGTCGAAGTGTGTCGATGGTCAGGAGGTTGGCGGCGGAGCTCAATGTTGCTGACGTGTGAGGTCACTGTAGCCTCCTTGGACGTAGCGCTGTGCTGTATGGATTGGACACTCTGTTGGAGACCACGTATCTCGACGTTGGTATCATGGGTCCGCTGGGAGTAGCTGTCCAGCCTGCACTCAAGGTTGGGGTCGTCTGTTGTGCGTTTCGCTCCCTTGGACCAAACGGGCGAACAGGGAGCCGGACCGTGCTATGTCAGCGTCTCTTTCCTGGGATATTCGGGTGGGCCGTAACTGCGCGTGGTCCGCCGCTTGCTGTACCTCGGCCGCGCGGGCTTCGAGGGAGGCGAAATCGTAAACCGTAGTCGGGGTGCCCAACTGATCGGTTTGGGTCCGTACATCGCGCAACTCAGCAAGCGCAGTCCGTAGTTCGGGAATGTGCTGTTCGACGTGGGAGACCCGTTTTTTGGGCGTTGGCACACGTCCCTCGAAAACTTCAAGGCGGTGAATGGGGGCCGTCTCGGCACCGCGCAGCTTAGCATCTCACTTGGACGTGAGGGTGGTGTGGGTGGAGTGTATCGTAACAGCGTGCTGGTGGACCTGGGGGCGGGCGTCTCCAAGTCCGCACGTAACTGGAAATCCGTAAATGCATGTACCTCCATGGGTGGGGTCTGTCGCACCCCCTGTATCCCTGACGGTCACGAGTTGCGTCTCCATCCGTAGGAGGTCGTCGTGAAGCGTCGGGATCGCGCTGGAGCCGGCACCTCGGTGTGACTCCATCTGGTCGACCTGGAATTGAACGTGGGAGGTGATCGATCGATCCCCGGCGATCCGAACATCGACCAACGCAACAGCATTTTGCAGCTGATGTCTCACGGTGGCCGTGTGAACGGCCGGATCCGATAGCTGTTGCGTCGTACATGTTTCAACCTGGTCTCGGAGCTCTGCCATATCACTGGCAGTGGTATAGGATTGCGCAACAAGGTTGCGCTGATGAGAGCCCTGCCGGGAGCGTTTTTTTTGTGAGGGGCTGCGGCTGGCATCTCGAGTGTGACAACGGATGTGATACCTTTTTGTTTCTGGGACCTGTCGCTGGTACGTCCGTCCAGTGCGTCTCTCTGAGACCCGCGCGTGTTCCGGGACGGAAATATTCTTAGGCGACGGAACCTTGGCCCAGCGGCGGATACGAGCGAGAGCAATGTCAGGAGACACGGTCGCAGCGCAGTAGCCGTTGCGGGTGTGTCCACCGACGATGGCGTCAGCGAAAGTGGGCGGCGAGGCAGTAGGCGTAGTGAAGCTAGGGTCGGCTCCGACGACAGACGTGACAACTGCGGGTGTGGCCACCGACGTGTGGGATGTATCAGGCCCCGCGGGAGCCGAATCCAACCGTTGTCGCGTGGGTCGTGGCGTGTGAGAGCGGAGCGGCGGAAACGTTGGAGAATCCGGTAAAAGCTCCCCGAGGGCCGCCGCGAGAGACGCAGCACCGCCGTCACCTGATAAAGGGGGAAATGGGTATCACAGTTTCTTGTGCCCTCTCCATGAGGCTATCGCTGTCATGCGCCGTCGAGGAGAACGCACGCTTGCAGGCGGCACAACAAGGTTGTGACGCCAATCGGCGGAATCCAAGACGACGCGAATTGCAAAAGCAACGAGCGGTTAAGAAAAGGCTGACAACCTGTGAATACAGGGAAACGGCCGAGGGGCCGTTCCTGTATGGGGTCCGTTGGTAGAGGCGTCCCTTTTCTTAGGCACTGCGCAGCGAGCAGCGCCTCAAGGTTAGCTTGCCAATACCTGAGCCAATACAGTTGCGGAAGGGATGCGATAGGGAAGTGAGCGGACTTCACACACAGCCCCGCCCCCATCCCCCCGCAGGCCCCAAGGAGCCGACGAAGAGCCGCTCGGGAAGCGGGAGTTGTTTCCCAGGGGAAGGCCCTAGGGTCTGGGGCCCGCCTCCATCACGCCCCCCCCCTCCTCCGAGGCGACCCCCTCCCCGTCCCCCTCGCGATCGTTCGGGGAGGTTCCGTCCTGGTCTTGCCATCGCTCGGACGTCCATTTCCCTGTGCTTGTTCGGTTTCGCGTGTGTTTTTGTGCGCTCGATGCTCTAGGATGCTCCTCCAGGGTCCTCGCCGAGAGAAACATGCACACGTCCGAGCGATGCCAGGCGGTGCGTTTTTACCCGGCGTCGTGCGCGCCGCTCTTCGCGAGAGGATCCCCCGGGGTGCCTCGAGGGCCCCTGCCGAGAAAAGGTGCGCACGTCCGCGCGCTGCGGCCGCTTGCGGGGGCGCGCTGGGGGGGGGGGGGAGGGCGGGGGGGGGCCCTTCCTGCCCCCCCACTCCGGGAGGCAACTGCGGTCAGGTCGGGCAGGGAACACCTGGCCAGAGCAGATTCAAATATGGTCAAACGTGGTCGAAAAGTCGTCCCCAGTGGGGGGCCGCATGCGAACCCTACCCCTGCCGCACACGACTTCCGAGGGGGAGGGGGGGGCCTTTCCCGGCCCCCCTCTGTAGAGGCATCCCGGATGGGGTCGGAGGGGCGAGCCGCACAGCCGATACGTGGGCGATGCAGCGGCGCCGTCGGCGCGAGGCAAGTCGGGCTGCACATCGGGCCGCATCGGCGATGCATCGGCGATGCGGCGCGACCTCGGCAAGGGACAAACCTCCCTTTGGTAGACCTCCCCTTAGCGAAAACGGCCTGGGACCGAAATCGACGGACCTGGACCCGCAAAGATGACGGCCGCGACGCCTTCTCGCGAAACGAAAACGGCCACTTCCTGCATCGACGTGTCAGGGTAGGAGGTCTGTCCACCCCCGACGATCCTCCAAACCCCATCTGCTCCGAAGCCATCTAAGAGGCCTAGACTCTGGGAGGCAGCTGCGGTCAGGTCGGGCAGGGAAACAACCATGGCCACAACAGATTCAGAAGTAGTCAAAGATGGTCGAAAAGTCGTCCCCAGTGGGGGACCACATGCGAACCCAACCCCCACCCCCCGAACGAAAAGACCCCCACCCTCCCCCTCAGAAATCGTGGGGGGTAGGGGTAGGG